TATGCAGGAATGTAGCCTTTGTTACTATGAATAGTTTAGTGCAGATTACCGGTATGCCAATTTCCTGTTGCCTTTCAGAGCTGCAATTTGAGCCCTATTTGCTCCTGGCTCTTGCACAATTGAAAACAATGGGTGGCTTCTTTTAGGTTTCACTTCAGAGCTCTTAGAAACAGGGGAAGTGGCTAAAGCCCTACTTTACAGGTAATTAACAATAGATAATGTTTGCTCTGCATTTTTTTTAGAGCTGATAAGGGTAGAAATACACACTAAGCTCCCAATATAGATACAGCACAGCATCTTAAGGGCACAGTAGGAGCATTAGAAAGGTGGCAATGAATTATCTGGGTCAAATGAAGGCCTGAGCCAGTAAACCAACAGATGATTAAAAAGCAGAGCAGTCCAGATGTCTTGGTAGATGTGCTGAACAATAACCAGAGAAACCCAGGCAAAGGTTCTGCTTCTTTATATCTGTATGGCATTTCACTATGCACTGAAGTAAACCATGAGCTTTGATTTAGGGGTTGCTTTTTATTGTATCCGGTATCTGTTTTATGAGGTGCATACTTTTCATACCTTGTTGACATTTATGTAGGATAGTTAAATATTTTCCTATGTTATGTATATTCAACACTAGGGAATCACCTGTCCTTTAAGGATTTATCTCAAGCAGAGAAGTTTATATTTGTCACGTAATGTTAAACATTAGACATTGATATCTTTCCTCATTAGATAACAAGTCTTGGGCATGTAGTAGGCACCTACAAAATATTCAAGTTCTCCATTATAATTAGGAATATTTGGCTAAATATATAGATAGAGAGAATATATAATCTGGGGTGTCCAGGCTCTTTATAAATTGCATAGGAAAGAACTGAACACTTTAAATAAAGATGTGAATTCAGTGTTTGCATATTGCAGGCTGTATGCTAACAAGCTCACAAGTTTTTATTCCTAGTGTAGAAAAAAAATCTTTGAACATGTTGATGGAGGGAAGTTTCTGCTGACATTCAGGGGTAGCTTTTCCTTCGGATTCTGTTTTTGGCATGTGCAAACTTTCTGAGTAAGTATTTGTGTGTGCACATTGAGTAGTTAGCCAGTGTGTAAATGCCAACCCACATGCAAAAGTATATTCTGTACAGGTGTGCACACAAGTTGGAGCCCAGATGGAAGAGCTGATTATTAAAACAAGTAAACCTGTTGGAGTTTACACTTACAGATGGGGCTGTATTAGAGAACTATGTTCCAATATCCTTTTGCCCCCAGAACGATTTTTAAGCCCTGTTTGCTGATGGCTTAAATTGCTCAAATCCAGTTTAAGCCTGGGACTCTAGGGTGGACTGTAACCTTAGACTGAAGCACAGCTTTCTTTTTTCAGTGACAGGATATGTGCATGAAAATATTTTCATGATTTTTTTTAAGTAGTCATCTACTCTTAAACTCATATTTTTATTTGTGAGAGTGCTGGTTGCTGTGGAGACTGTGGTGATGCCACAAATGCAGGACTTTGAATTAGAGAAGGAAGTAAACAGCAGAAACAGATGAACTCTTCACTTCCAAGCTTTCCAAGCAGCACAAATAAAAAAAAAACATAGAAAGAACAGTGTTGTCTGAAAGAATTAAC